TAGATCTGTTTGCCCTGTCAGTTTTTGTATGGTTTAGTTGTCAGTTCACGGCTCTGTCATTTTGAATTGGGATTGATCTTTTTGTTCTTTCACTCCATTAATTATTTGAGCAGTCGTCAGTTATGTGCAACCCGCTGGGTGTATTCGTTGGATCACATTGTTTCTCTCTGCGCTTGATCTAGCACATGTGTACCGTACCCGTAATGCAGCTTATCGCTTTCATAACCATTTTGAATACGCAGAGTTGACATTCATGGCCTTAATTCAGTTCACTTAAACCCTGCGACGCCACCGATGCTAAGATAGTTGCACCAAAGGAATTAGAAGCAGAAACTGATGAGTGACCTCCCTGGTTAGGTTAGTTTGGGCAGGGTGAGTGCCATGTAGGAGGGAGCAACCAAGGGCATCTGAGAGGCCGCGGAGGGCAGAGCTGCTAAGCAGGAGGAGCAGGGAAATCAACAGCCAAACTACCTTACAGTTAAGTAGAATAAATAGTTGAAGCTCTTCCCCTTTGTATTCAGGCTTCATCCTTTGTATTCAAGCTTCACTGTACTTCACCGATGCAGTGATGCATCCCGGTGGTATCCTTCAGCGTCCCATGGAGCAGGGGAGACTGCAAAAGCAGCGTGGGGTGGGATACTCTGCCTACGGGCACTTTTTTTGTGCTTCCCTCTCGGTCTCGTTAGTGCATCCAGGCGTACATTTTTCACATGCAGAATAGCTGAGTTAGTGGCTAAAATCTACAAGACTGTGTGTGTGCTTCATGGCTAAAGGCTGTGCCCCAGTAATCCTGTAGGATAATAAAGTAAACATTATTAAATATGTATTATTTGTATAAGCAGCCCCAGGAAACCCTAGGAGAGTCTGGCTGTGAGCTGGATGAAAACAAAGCTACCCCAAGAGTCCACCTGGATTTGTAGGGTAAGACAGGAATCCTCCGCGCCCATCTGTCTGTCCTGTCGGTGGGTCCTCACACTTTAATCACGAGTTGACCTCTTAGTCAGAGCTGTCAGCGTCACTCTGAGAACTTTCAGCCCGAAACCCATCCAGGACAGCCTGCCCATAGGACCTGTCAGTTGCCTGAGGGTTTACAAGGGAGTGGTTTGGGGATACTGCCAAGGAGCGTTGCTTCTGCTCCAACACCCAAGGCCAAGAGCACTACAGGAGGCTGAACCTTTCTCCGCCTTATGCAACCGATGTCCCATTGTGGGCTCTTAAATTTGTAGCAGATTAGGTTGCCAGTGAGTCTCTCTGGTTTTACAGCCTTAAAATAATAATAATAATAATAAAAAAAGAAATCTTGCTTGCCACTGAATTTGTTGAGTTTTTGATGAGTAATGTTCCAGCATCCAACATTTAGACTCTGCATGCTTTCTCTGTCAGATAAGGAAGATAATCCTGATAAGGCTGTTTATCTCAGAATTTTTGGGAATGGCGAAAAAAACCCCACTGGCCTGTAACATAATATGGATAAAAATATAAATTCCGTTTCATGTATGGGCTCAGCCAGTGGAACATACAACACAGTTGCTGAGCTGAACAAGGGAATTTCATAGAACCTGTGAAATAGAGAAAGCTGAAGAATCAAATTGAAATTAATTTTTTTTTCAAAATCTGTGGACTTTTAAAATCTGTTTTTAAAAAACATATTAAAATATCTGAACCCAGAAGCCTATAGTAAGACCTCTAAACATTGCACAGGAATATTTTTATAAATGGCAGGTCCTAATTTGTTGAGCTTTTCATTATATATAAATCTTCTATAGTATATATATTCTATACACAAATGTATTTATATATATAAAAAAATATTTAAAAACTTGTATAGTATTCCTGTAATGAATTCTAAGGTCTTGTGTTTCACTTAACTATTGTGTTAAACTACTTTGTTTTTCTCTCTTCTCCAGCCAAAAAGTTTCAACACCCCCCCCCAAAAAAAAAAAAGAAAGAAAACAGCCCATAACAAACTAAATCTTTTTTTTTTATTTTAAATACTTTTTCTAAGACAACACATAATTTCTGAGGGGGGGAAAAAGTCTGCTTGCCGTTTAAGAGCAGGATGAGCGTTACTAATTACTTCATGGTTGCAACATGCCTTTCCCTTAGAACATTTCATCCCTTTTAACGAGGAGATGAACACTGAAAGGAACGGCAAAGTTCTTGCCGTCCTCCAGAGAAGCTGGATTTTCACCCTTGCTTTCTTGCCCAGCATCACGCTGTGAGTCAGTGTTATAGCTGGGGTTGGCAGCCAGGAATTTCTGGCTCTTCGTCCAAAGTGAAGACCCTTACATCACATGGTCCTCCTCTGTATATTGTTCTCCTGACTAGTCACCGAAATCCCCAGCCAGCTAACGCCCCGCTGAAGAATGCAGCCCTTCCTCACCGCAGGCTCGCTGTTCTGGGCAGGGTGGGAAGCGCGTGAGAAAAGGGCCGTGTGGCGATGTCCCTAGCACAGCCTGACACCTCTTCATCCTGCGATTGTGCTGGTTCCTCCATCACAGTTTAGAAACACTCTCCAGAAACATGGTTGCTTCCCTTTCTAAAAATAGATGGATGAGTCACTTCTATCCTTCTGGAGCAGAGTCTTGGCAGAGAGCACGATTTAAGGGATATAATAAGCAGCACATTAGCTGAACAGGGGTTCTTCAGCCCACCCATCGTCCTGAGGATGGTCCTGAGGAAGGGATCCCCTTTTCCATGACTGTTTCCACATCTGCCGGAGCCGAGCTCCCTGCCCACAGGAAGAGTAGGTGGTCATGCCCCGTAGAAAGATGGGGTGCACTGCACTTGTCCTTGTGTTCCTACGAGCTGTCCCCCAGTTTTCCCAACACAGCTCAGCGCCTTAGGCAGTCGCCTTTGATTCACCTGCACGATTTCACACGGCAGCTGGTAACCCCACCTGCAAAAAACCTACAAAGCGCCTGCTGTTGCAGCTATTGTCTTTGGCTTGCATTGCAGGTTTCTTTTCTTTCTACCTAACTGTCAAAAAAACTGCTTGTAAAGCTTCAAAATACAATTTGAGGCTATTTACCTGCTTTGACCTAACGTGCACTGTTGAGTTATAAGGTGTAGTCTTTTTTATATGGCCCTATATGCATATGAAGTGTTTTAAAGCCACAGACCGGATCCTGAGGCCGGATCAGCCTCCATAAATTCAGAGTAGTGAGCTCTGTTTGCTGACACCAGGAGAGTTCACTCGTTTTGGAAAGGCTGTGGTGAAGTGGCTCCACCAGAGCGGTGCCCTGTCCCCAGCAGCGTCGGGTCCCTGCTGCGCCGGGAATGTGCACAATTTGATGATGGTTACCTGGGTTTACTTAACACAGATCAGGCTGATACTAGCGAGAAACATTTCAGCCAGCAACGCAATGCAAATTAAGGGCACGTTTCTTAGGGAAAAAAAAAAAAAAAATCACGCTGTACTTTTCATATGGGGACACCCCCGGTGCATGGCTCGCTCTATAAACTAACTAATTGACTCTCGGCAGGGGGGTGAAGGGAATGCCTGGAGCTGCGACGGACATCAGTCCTGGGCTGCGGCTCATATTTTGGCCATTTTCTTTCTTTGGTGGATTAATCTCTTACGGTAGCTTGTGTGGAGAGCGGGACGCCTATGGCAGGACAGCCAGGTTGTGGTGCTTCCATCTCCCGGCTCCCCTTCCTGCCAAAAATGATGGATCAGAAGTCCCATTTCCAGCTTAAATTTAATGGGATCTACCTTATATCTATGTAACTCTGTGAAATATGTCTGTTTTTTCCTTTTTATTTCACATCACCTCTTCTTCCCTAATTCACTCCCAACAGCAGCAGGGGTGTTCTCCTACTGATGAGAACAGTTGTGACTGGACAGGAAAATAAGGACACGCATGAAAATGAAGAGCGGAGTCCCCCAAAACACACGGAGTATAAAGTTCTGTTTACAATAGGTTTGACAGGGACATTTGATTTGCACTGCATCAACAGCAGCACCAGGGAAAGTGGTGGCCTTGTGTTTCCAAAGTATTGAAATTCAAATGATATGTCTCCCTTCCATGCAAAGTTGACTTTCCCTTTACGTAATATATGTCTCAGGTTCCTTCTGTGGTGGCCCTGACTTCATATGGTGTCCTGGTTTCGGCTGGGACAGAGTTAATTTCCTTCCTAGCAGCTGGCACAGGGCTGTGGTTTGGATTTAGGGTGAGAACAATGTTGATAACACACTGATGTTTTAGTTGTTGCTGAGCAGTGCTTACACTAGGCAAGGGCTTTTCAGCTTCTCATGCTCTGCCAGTGAGAAGCTGGGAGGGGGCACAGCCAGGACAGCTGACCCCAACTGGCCAAAGGGACATTCCATACCACGTGCCATCATGCTCAGTGCATAAACTGGGGGCAGTTGGCTGGGGGGCGGTGACCACTGCTCGGGGACTGGCTGGGCATCGGTCGGCGGGTGGTGAGCAATTGTACTGTGCATCACTATCACTTATTTTGTATATTCTTTTATCATTATTATTATTATTTTCCCTTCCTTTTCTGTCCTATTAAGCTGTCTTTATCTCAACCCACAAATTTCACTTTTTTTCCCCTGATTCTCTCCCCCATCCCGCTGCGGCGGGGGGGAGTGGGCGAAGGGCTGTGTGGTGTTTAGCTGCCCGCCGGGTTAAACCACAACATATGGGAAAAGAGAGTAAAAACTCAGGGATGCTGCTGGGCACGTGTGCTCAAAGGGAACAGAGCAGCTTTGTAATTTTAGCCGCGTTCCCTGGCGGTTTGGGGCTGGACTATAGAGGTCCCGCTATTTCTGCTCTCCCCTGCTCTTGCTGACCGATTCCACAAAGGTGCATTTCTGCTTTCTGTCCGTGCCCTGTGCACATCCAGCACCATCAGGGTTTTTGCCCTCTCTTCCCACGTGGCCAAATCACGTTTAAAGTAATTGCCTGGTAATCTAATCTTTTCTGTTCTTCTTTGAATAGGAAGTAGCTGAAAGGTATGAGGAAGTAGCTAAAAGAGCCCAAAGTGCTTATGAAAACGCTTGGACTTCAAACACAAAGGAAAGCTTACCCTTTGATAATGAAATTTTATCTGGGGCATGACATTCGTGCCACCACAATATTGCTATATCTGAAATTAGTATTAGTCTATGCAATGAGTGCT